CTTCATAGATGCCCCAGCTTGAAATACATTGGATCAAAATATCTTTTTGATGATTTCCTGACTTGAAAAAAACCTTGTATTCAAGGAGAGCCTACTACTACACAAACAGGTGAAAATGTGAATGTTTGAAAAGCTAGCATCAAACTTATGCTTATCTCAATATGCTCTCGCTCTTGCTCCTGTACGGCCTTGTAAAGGATGTAGGTCTAAAGGAAATCATAAAATGCATGTTTATCCTAGAAAAGCAGCCAGATATTGGTTGCCATGGTTGCGATGTCAGGGAAATATGAGCGCAGGTGATGAATTTTATGACAGCAGGGGTTTGCTAAAGTTGTCAGTGGCAACCCAGAAGGGTCACTGGGGTCGCCCGAAGAGAAAACAAAGGCTGCATCTTGGGAAGCAGCAGGAATTATGGGAAAATTGTAAGCCATTGTTTAGTCTTGATATCAGATTTATTATATCTCAATAAATTATCCAGACGTAGAAGCTATGAGTCACCGTGTTTTCATAATCAACCACTTTTGATGCAGAAGTTTAGACATACATCAGACTGTGAGACAGGCAGTATGTTTTAGTTGAATATTGTCATACTTTAAGAGTAAATATTTTTAGTTCCAGATTTTAGGAATTTAAGTCATTGACTTTGCAAAGTGTCCCATCTACATCTGATCAAAATATATTGAACAATAACAATGTATTCTACTTGTTCATTGAAGTATTAGAAATTATGTTTTTGCGATGTCGTGTCAATTTAAAAGGTTTGATTATAAATAAACAGATTTAATTTTGAGAAATAACAATTGAGTAGATTTGGTTTTAGAATTCAGTGTATATGACATTGAGGCTTGTTAAGCTCTTTTGTAAATTAAGGGAAAGACAACTATTATCTAATTTGCCAGAAGAGATTGAGAGATACCTGCAGAGTCAGGTGAATCATGTTGCTCATCGTTTCTCTATCAGTAGACAAATCTATACCAGTATCTCCTTGAAAGACGTTTGTCTCGGCTCAAATTTGGGTTGAGACCTCGTGAGAAGGGAAATAAAGAAACAGAGGAAATGAGGCAGTCTTCAAAACCGAGGACTGAAACTCAGTGAACTTGAGATGTTTGTCATATGATGTCATCCCTGTCTGTGTAGGAAGTTCCCAAGAGATTTATACCTGAGCTTAAAGGTGTATTTATGTCTCGTTTAGTTTCGGGAAGCATGCTGGTCAGCAGATGAATTACATTGATCTTTTCAGAATTGCATTGTATTATTGTATTAGATGGATATTTTTAATGTTTAAAAAAAAGAATAAAATGATTGTATTTAAATGAGAACAGAAACACATAGACTTACATGTATTGGAAATGTTGAGGATTCCTTTGACAAACCTCAAGTATTAACTTCTTTGTTCAGCTATGATTTCCTGATTTTCCTCTCATTCTTTTTTCCTTATTTTAGTTCGGAATTTATGTATTTTTGTTATACCCTTTGTGTCTTCTGTGGCTAGAGATTAAATCAATCAAAATATGAATGTATACAAATGCAAGCATTTTTAATTTATGAAAATTCCCAAATTAATTATTATTTAGTTGAATAAGTCTCAGTTTTGATCAGATACGATTAATTTTGATCCATTGTCCTGAATAGGTCTGAATTAAATCATCAACAACAATTAGTGATAGAAGTATTCACCTAATTATTCATAGATTTAATTTTGAAAAACAAAATGAGGTGACAAAGTTCATTAAAAAAAAACTGGATGTGAAGTGACATCAATCAACTACACATTAAAATTGGAAATTGTTTGGAATTAAAATGCAAGGGCTTTCCAGAAAAATTGTATGGGTAATTTCCTTTTTATTAGTAATATTGGCATCGTAGGTAAATGGCTAATAACTTGACATGAAGAGTGAGCCCATTCGTTATCTCTTGGATACAATGGATGACAGCTTATGCCAAGTGTCAAAGTGCAATGAATGTTGATTTATGAGCCGTGGTGTCATGGGGGGGGGGGGGGGGTGAGGGACAGGGGCAAAACTATACAGGGGCTGAGTGTCACTTGCCTTTATGGTTTTTTTAGCCACTGTCATGGGAGGGGACTAAAAATAATTTCCATCAATGAATCAAATAAGTACATTTTGGCATGAAAGTGCCCTCATGAATGAAATTCTGCCTTTACTGGGGGAGGGGGGGGGGGTAAACACTTAGGGCTGGTACGGGGGGGGGGGGGTGGGGAATGACAGTGATGCATCACCTCGGCTATTAAGCAAACTATATTCCAAGCCATCAATAAAACTTGTCATTGATAGTCTTTCTTCTTTTCTTTTGAGTGGCAGATCGGTGACAAATACAAATGCATCATGAATTGTTTTCTTTGTTAAATTATTAGGACTGTGTTATTTTTTGCAGGTACAGGTAGGCCTTTAGTGAAAAGGACATGAGAAATTGTTTGAACACTAGTTATACCAATACACCCATGTATTACTCTATAAAAATATCAAGAATAATAACTCTAATATAATTTTGAAAGAGCTATTTGTAGGGGCTTTAACTTAATAGGAGCTAACATCTTTATGGCTTATATTAGCCGACAATATTTGAATTGTATCTTTGAATTTCTTTCCATTGATTTCCATTGATTAGAAACGGCAGGTGGCATTTGTGTGTACAGCACAATGAAAATTATTTGTTTTAAATTGTGATTAATCAACCATCGCTGCGTGCAAACACCTTTATAGGAGATAATAAAAGGCGATAAAAAGCTAACGGGCCTTTGCATATAGCAATTATAAATACTTACACAAGTAGGCAATGCATGCAATTATCACTTGTTTGTTTAATAACAGGTGTCTGAGGTTTGTTTTCATTGATTTATGCATTGTGTTATTCTTGCCGTATATTGCATTATTCTTGCCGCACATTGCGTTATTCTTGCCGCACTTTGCGTTATTCTTTCCACATATTGTGGTAATATTGTGTAGCAAACAATGTCAAATGTGCCATATATTAGTGTGAATATTGATTGATAAAGTATTCTGATGTAGGCACAGTACCAGTTTTCTAATCTGAATAGTATTTGAACTTCTTGGCAAAGGGCTTGTGACTTCTTCTCAATATTAATTGAAATTTTCATAGAATATAAAGGAAAAATCCAACTTAGACTGGGAAAATGTACGGGGTCACATGACCAACCTAATTTAGTTGTTAAATCGTTCATTTCCTTCTAGATATGAAAAAATGATGTCATGTTCTAGCAAATTTGCAGAAGACAAGTACAGAACATTTCCACCAATAGTGTCAAAACTAGGTCATACTTAGAGCTAATTTGAATTCCTTCTATAACATTTCGAGTGATAAACTAAAATTTGTAAGTATTTAAAAAAAATTAAGTGTCACAGTTTCTGTTACCAGGAAGTGTGCACAATATCATCTGAATTTACACTTTTTCATGTAGACAATGCAAATTATTTAAATTGTATTTTTATTTTGGTGGTGCCATTCTTCTGTAATGGAAGTCATGTAAATTTTAAATGAATCGAGGCCTCAAATGGATTTTAACAAACCTTTTGAAGTAAAAAATAGCTTTTAGCAGGAGTCTTTTGTCTACATATTGAGTAGTGTTTAACGGACGCTCGTCTACTACGAAAACACCACACATTCAACTTCAGGTTTATAACTACTAAAAGAGCTATTTCCCCCTAAATCTCTCTCTCTCTCTCTCTCTCTCTCTCTCTCTCTAACCCTCCAACCCTCCATCTCTCTCTTTTTCTTTTACTCTCTCTTTTACTATCTGTTTTTCTCCCTGTCTCTTCTCACCATTGCCCTCTCTCTCTCTCTCTCTCTCTCTCTCACCCTCTCTCTCTCCCCCTCTCTCTTTTACTCTCTTTCTCTCTCTCACTCACTCTCTCTCTCTCTCTCTCTCTCTCTCTCTCTCACTCTCTCTCACTCTCTCTCTCTCTCTCTCCTCCACTCCTAAAACTAGAGCTCAGTGCATTAAACCCCTCATCCCACTCGCTGCACCGCGCAGTGCGTGCGTCAGAGTCGCGTACTAGCTCGGCTCTCCCCGATAAACTATCATGGACAACCTCAAGAGGGAGAAAATGGCGCACTCGACAAGAAATTATTCAACGAGACCGAGCAAGATAGGCAACTGCTGGATGCATTGCGGAGCCCTCATCTTAGAGGGATGGGTCGCCATGGCGACGAGCGGTCAGCTGCGGTGTCATCACCTGCTGTCGCTGGAGATTCTTCACTGAAATGATATCTTACCGAATCTCTAGTACTTGTTTATTGATGCACAGATTACATGTACATCGTTCTGCTTTAATGTTCAGGGTGGTGTTTTGCTTAATAGATTCGCACTTACAAGAAAGAAGAACTTCGATGTTCAGATAACAGTTTTGGAATAATTTATTTGAGATCTTTAGATTAGAAGCAAGTTCTGGAATAACATACTTGAGATTAGATCAGATACATTTGGAACTGGCTGTCAGATAGAAATCAAATATTTTGTATTTTGTTCAAGCATAGTACACAGCTTTGGAACTTTAGTTTCATTGAAAACAAGTTGAAAATATGTGTACTTTTTTTTCAAAATGAGAAGTTTTTATTGTGAACTACAATATATACAGATTCCTGGTTAACGATAGAATGATATCAAAATTTTACTCCGACATTTTTTTGGATTTTCAGGGTCATATCATCCTCAGTCCTTGCCATAACTTTTCTCACTGCTAGACAAAGTGTTCTCCAGTAAGAGTATGCAAATCATTTTTTTTAAAGGAATATTTCAGGGGCTCCTCAATCATTTTACCAGGGCACTTCTTTAGATTTTCGGATCATATCCTCCTCGATCGATCAGCCCCCTTTTATTCTTTTTCTCACTACCAGACAAAAGTGTTCTTCAGTATTGAAGGGTACACGCATGCCGATAAAAGTCTGTAAGGGAAATCATTACAAGCTGTTCCGGGAGGGTCGCTGTACATATATTGATCGGTGTCACAATATGGAGGACTCGCATCTAGGGCATGAAAGAGCTGGCAGAGAGGAAAACAAGAATGGAGAAGATGGAGACGACGATGATAAGATTCTGTCGTGAGAGAGAGGATGGCATTGAAATTCAGCCTCTGGATGTCCCTTTGTTCTTGTATTTGACTTTGTGGAGAGGACTAGAGATGAGAGTCATTCTTCTGCTTTATTTAAAGTTGCAAAACATGGACCTACTTCTCATTTTTATAGGTATATTTAAGTAATGTACATTTTAGGTTTAACAAAATAGGTTTAACAAAATGGTGATTAAGGGACTACTGATGGTCTGATTGTGACCTACACCTTATACATTTGTCTGTCCCCCCCCCCCCTCTCTCTACATCCCTCCATACATCCCTCCTTTTCTATCTCTGTCTCTTTTGCTCTCCATTCCTCCCTCTCTCTATCCCTCCATCTCCCTCCATCCCTCCCTCCCCCTCCATTTCCAACTCTCTCCTCCATCTCCTTCTCTCTCCATCCACTTCCATCTCTTTCCGTTCGCTTTACACAAAGGATTATCAAACCAATGTGGATATATATTCTTTTCAAATCCAAAGCCAGCCGGCCCACAAACCAGCCCATATTTTGAGAAGCAGTCAAACGTTCTAAATGTTACGTTTGCCAGCTAGCTTTTTACTCCGCCTGTTTTTCCACCGATGTAAAATCCCTTGCCACGGGGGAAGTACATTTCATCCTTTGTCAGCCTGCCCTCTTGCACTTTTTTCGATGTGTATCGAATGACCGTCTTCAAAATCCTCAAAAATTCATGCCATGGTATGTGCGTCGGGTGCATGAAGAAGAGGTTCACATCGGGTAAAGAATTCACTGAATGCGTAGCAGAGGCGATCTTAAATCATACTCTATGTGAACACCACTGATATATATAATAACCCTTCACAAGAAGAAATCTGTGTTCAGACTGGGGAGCGAAAAATATAATGTGTTATAATTTTCTTGTAAATCCCACTTACACAGGGAGTATATTAAGATTATTGCCATATGTAGATAGTTCTGCTGTCTTCACGTGAAGAAATTTGGGTTCCAACTGGGCACCAAAAATATAGATCATTGATATGTAATTATTCCCCTTTAATATACTTTTACACAAGGAGTACATCAAGGTTATCAAGATATGTAAATAGTTTTGCTTATAATTCAGGACTTAAACAAAAGCTTTCATATCTTTATGATTTTAAGGAGACATAATATTGTTCCTTATCTCTAGCCAGCATTCCTAGTGTAGTTTTCTTAAACTTTTTGATTATTTTAAAGAGATGATGTTGTAGCATGGTTTGTATCAATCTGGAAGAAGTTAAACTGTTTGAATGAAGCCTTGAGTAATAAGTACTTTGTAGCTGGCAAGTCAACACGGGCGGTACATCCCTATCTAAATTGAACAGATATCTATTTAGCTCAGTGATAGAAGAATATCTCTGAGTGTGAATGGGGGCTGTAGCCCTTGTTAGCCATGTGAATGGGGCCTGTAGCCCTTGTTAGCCGAACGGAATGGCCCTCTGAGGTTTCTAAAAGGGATTTTCTGGCATGAAAATACAGATTTGGGAAACGTAAGACGTGACGAAAGATGGGAGAGTTAGATGGTCAGTTCGGGGGATCGCCTCGCCTAGTAGAAAGATGAAAAGGATACCTGAAAAGGATACCTTAAACAAGGAAGGGGTGCTTAAGTGACTCAAGTATAATTCGTAGAAAAATAATATGAGAATTTGTCTCATGAGATGATAAGTGACGTTTGTCAGAAGAAACAAAGTCGTGTATAAATGATGGAAAGATTATTTCTTCTTTGTATAAACTTTTGAACTTTGTGAACAAAACCCTTCGATTGTATGAAGAGTAGAATATGATATTTTGACATTGTGTAATATTGTAATAGAATTACGTTTTCCACTTAGAAATTTCCCTTATGATAAACCATGAGGTTTCAACAAGAAACTTAGGATCTTAAAGTATTACATGTAGTTTCTAGATGCACATTGTACAATACGATCATTTCAGTCATATTTCAAGCTGTTTGTGAAAATATGTTTTATTTCTTAGCATTGTTAAACCAACACTTTTTTCATTCAGGTACCCTTAAATCTTATCAAATGCAATTGTACATTTCGTCGCTGTTTTCACGAAGTGATGGTAGTGAAAAAAATTGCATTCACGTTGCGTTACGATTTTCCTCACTACCGTCACTTCGTGAAAACAAGGACGATTTGCAGGTTTGGATATGGGAATCTGGATCATTTTGTTATCAAAATAAAAATAAAAAGCTCTTATGTTAAATTGTCAAGGTGCAGACTACTTCAAGTAGTTGAAACCTTCCATTGTCCCAAATGGTAGTATAGACATTTGTTTCATATTACAAATATCTATTTCATACATTTATGGTTATTGGAAAGTGGAAATATATCTCTTTTTCTTTGCCTCCTCGATCTCTTATTTCTACTTCTGCCGTCACAAAAACATGATGCTGGAAAGGAAAATGAAATTCTCAGTTTGCTTAGCAGATGATGAGTACGCATATAGACACAGTATTCTGAGAAGAAAGAACAATAACAGATTTCTCCCCTTTCACGGTTTGTGTCAAAACAAAAGCATCTCAAGCAAACATTCGGAATTGCAGTGGAAATTTTGTCTTTATATTGTATCAATGATTTATATATCGCAGCCTTCATCACTGAACCCACTCCCCAACGTTAGTCTCTTACTTTAATAAGAAAAAAAATGAAATGAGAAGTCTTACATGTAGAACTACTACATCAAGTATGTGTCCCTCTTACATGACAGTGTCGATTCTTAATTCCATTTTATCCACAAGTATCGATTTGCAGGTGTTTCTTTTTATCGCTCCTGCCCTTAGGATTCCAAATTTTCATAACGTGTTTGGGGTCAGTAGACTAATCAGTTTGATCAATAGTTATCCAATTTATACTGCGGCCCGAGGATATTCGCATCCGAAGATCAAGTATGTTATGAAATATTAAAGAAGCATGTGTTTCTCTTCTTCCCCTTCTTTTCCTCTCTTGTAACATCCTCTCTATTCCCTGTGGTGTAACCGGAACTTTCGTGAATTTTGTTAACCGACAGCTGTTTTCATAGCAAAGGGAACATTCGTGAGGTGCAGAAATCTGATGTTGTTGTTCATATATAAACTTGCAAGTCTGGACAACTCATGGGATCACTTGAAATCTGGGCATCGTTTCACAAAACCATCGTAAATACAAGTTCGCTGACATCACATTATTAAAATTCAATCATTCACACAATGGGATGTCGGTGAACTTGTACTTATGACTGTTTTGTGAAATAATGCCCAGGTTTTAAAGTTAGCGCCTTGAAAAATATCAAAGTGCATTATTTTTTCTAAAGAAACACCTCCATCAAGACTTTGCTGATTTAAAATTAAGGTTTGACAATTGGTAGGAGTATTTAAAATATGAATATGATATTAAATTACAACACCACTTCTCACTTGTATAAATGTTTTTAACATTATTCTTGATGTAAAGGTCTACATGATACAGTAGAAACAACGAAAGGAGTAGGTTACCCAGTCCACACAATATACATGCGTGTACATATACATGTACCTTTAGAAATGGCTTTTAGAAAGGGCATTTAAACAGGTTATCTATCGCGATATCGATCAAATGCCTTCTGCTTGGCAAAATTGAGGTAGATGAGCAGGAAATTAAGGATGGATAGGAGAAAGGATCGTATAGATAATAAGCCGGTACTCTGGTGGTTTGACGGTACAGAGAGTTGCGCTTCGCAGCGAATCTTCATCGAAACTGCAACAAAGCATGACTGTTTATCGACCCTATCCTGTGCACCCCCCCCCCCCCTGCGGTGCCCCTCCCCCTCAACTGCTTGGTCTCAGCCATGAGTAAGAATTATATATGATAGCTTGAATCATGCTGAAAGAATTAAGTATATATATTTAATTCAGATGATACGACTTGAAACAAGATATACTGTGGGGTATATATAACATATATGCTGTTAATCATTGGACATAGATAGCAGTATTAATTTTTGATATATTGAGAGTAGTAATTGTTAAACCTGATACTTCTACGAGATGTCAATCATTTTTAATTTAATCTATCCCCTGTCCAGTTTCCCCAACTTTCTTGTAAATTAGGCACATGTACTTTGCCTCAGTCGTTTAATCTAGTCAAATTTGATTTTTCGGCCTGATGCCTTGCCAACTCCAATTAGAATGTTGCCGACAACAAGGTTATTTTTCTCATCACTTTTAAAGCGAATGCAGCCAACGCTGAAAGTTACGGCTAGCTAGATGTTCTCCTGGCAAGAACATGGGATTATTGGGTGTGATGAGAGAAAAGTGAGATCCTCTCTTATCTAATTTGAGTTGAATTAGATTAGAAATTGAGCCTGACAGTACCATCCATAGATTTGTGCGTCGGTCGTGAGTCACAGTCCCCCTGTACGACCTTCACCATCGAGGGCTTTGTTTGACCCTGTGAGTAGTTGAGAGGAAGACAACTTCATTGAACATGGAAGGGATAAGCCACCTTAATCTAAATTGGATTTGAAATATTTGCTGATGTTTGACTTCTGTAATCTCTGTACTTATTAATCAGATATATTGAGAGGGGGTGTGTTGAAAACTTGACATATTTCACTTAAAGCCCCACTATACTCCTTGTAGCTACTTGCGCCCTCTATATAGCAAACAATGCCTAAACGGTGACCATTTGGTCCCCCGTGGTCCCCTTTTTCTTATGTTAATTGAAATGCAGGGAGGTCTAATTTCTCTTGGCCAAACTAGAGCAGAGGGGCTTTAATGTAGATGTTCTCTAAATATAGTATGCATGTAGAAACATCTGCTGAAGTTTATCTCTGAATGTGTGTGTAGGATCGATGATATAATGCAAATAAGCTTGCTGAGTTCCTTAGGTGAGCATTTCTGTGAATCATTAATTATAAATGAGATGATATGTTAGATCCATGGATAGGAGTCAAGCAAGAAAAATATTCACAATCTCAGGTCTTGATCTACATGTATAAGAAAAAATTCTAAATAACCAATAACATAAAAACAGAGCTAAACTTGATGTAGCTCTGCGTTGAGCACCACAACCGCCCTTCTGAAATATGGAAAACAATTCTTGCGGAAGAGAAGCGAGAAAGATGTCCCCGCCGGCAAGACGCAGGTGAATAATGATTTCAAAACCCTTGTTTGCAAAGTTCTATTTGTTGGGTCCTCAGGCTGTGGTTCTTGTGAAGATCAAATAAGAAACTCTACTCCTTTAAATTGTGGAGTGACTCAGATACTTGCGGATGCGGAATTATGACGGTTGTCATCGAAAAATAGGTCAAACGTTCAAATAAATTTTTGTCTTTGATAGTATTTTTCTCACATCTAAATAGTTGGGTATGTTGTTCAAATAAACTGCAATTTTTAGATTATAAACTCCTATTTTTAGATTATATACTCCTATTTTTAGATTATAAACTCCTGGATAGGCAAGTATCAACATTAAGAGATCAATGCTTCCATATATAGGATCAAATGGCAATGCTCTGGCTTTTATTTCATCAAAGATTTAGGGTTAGGATTAAGGTTTCAATTGGATTTAAGAAAGTTTTAGGGTTAGGATTAAGTTGAGGTTCGGAATTCAGTTAATCTCGTGTATTGATCATGGAGTAATTGTCACCAGAGCAATCAGTGTCAAACAATCTATAGTTCACCAGATAATTGTAATATTTATATAAAGAGACAATCGAATCGATGAATGTTTCAATGTACATGTAAGGGTCGAGTGTGTTCTCCAGCTGTGATCTTCAACTTGGCAACATGTCATACAGGTAGAATGAACATCTATAATATACATCTGAGGTACAATTTGTGATAGGGCATCGTCATCCAGGCCGCTTTGATATTGAAGTGCTTTGGCCCAGCGCGACAACGTATTCACTGCACCGAAATTAACCCAGCACTGCTGTGATACAGGGCTGTAATTGATCTGCGCTGCGCTAATATATATGCAAATTCGTCCACCAACAGCACTTGGAAAAACCGACGTCTATCTTACCTGTTTCTAGTCTCTATTTGACCTTTTGGGATGTTTCTTTTGGTTTATTTGGTTTGCGCTTTTTACAAAAGGCTGGTTATGTTAGTCACTTCTGGCTTTATTGGGTTTTCCATCAACTTCAGAGTTGTATTTGTACTGCCTTTGACAGAAATGCCACATAGATAATGAGGGATGATTTTTTTGTTTTAGGGGGGGGGGGGAATGGGATTACAAGGAATTATTACCTATCTGCATGATAGTCAAAAATATTACCAAGTAGAAAATGTATGACATGCCAACAGTAAGACATGAAAAGTCAGGTAATTCTATTTTGTGATAAAATCTTCTTTCTTAACAATTTTAGGGAGATATGTAGACAGGGACAAAAATGAGGTAGCCATTGTTTTGTAAATGGTGAAATGATGCTGCTCATTGCAGTTACAATTCAAATGGTTATACGTTGTTGTTTTTCTTCTTCTTCATTTAATCATAATCGTTCCTGTTTTCACGAAGTGATGGTAATGAGGAAAATTCGCACACAAATTGTATGCGATTTTAATTCACTACCGTTATTTCGTGAAAATAGGGACGTAATAATTCAGCCATAGTATAAAATAAAAGATGAACCTGATCGAAGCCCACCTTTTAGACAGAAATGCCACATAGTTGATGGCATTTGATTATTTTCCATCTCTGTCGTCAAAATAGTCCGTAATTAAGCTCTTTTCTCTCTATTTTTTTCTCTGTCTGTCTGTCTCCCTCCCTCCCTCTTCCTGTTTTGTTATTTCATTAGTTTAGAGCTCTCTAAACTTAGCACTGTCCATATATTATGATGTAGATGATTGTCTCTGTTATGATGGCACTGAATGATTATTAGCTCTAGACTTGAATGTGGTTTCAGCCATCGTTCATGTCTCTGTTTTTTGTTGTTGATGGATCTCTCCCCCAAGTGAAATCGAATGTGCGTGACTAACATACTCAAGCCATGTTACCAAATTAAAATCGAAAGTAACAGCGTAGATGTACTGATTTTGAATTCATGTATGCATGCGCAAAGCCAGTTTGAAAACAAGAACCGGCAGTCTTCAAATTCTGGTTTTGACGAAAATGCAAAACCATTAAAATAATACCACAAGATTTATGGTGAATGTAAGAAACTTGAGATTAGCAAATCAGATAGATAGATAGTTCAGCCAGGATAATTTGTCCAAAGGACTTGATAATAATAATCGTCATCATCATCATCACATCATCGTTGTTGTTGTGGTCGTTATTAATAATGATAATAATAATAATAATTAATTGATTTGTTGCTTAGTAATAGCTGGAATACAAGAAGATTTTCCTGATCTCAATGCAGATGTGTAATGAAATCATCTCTCACTCAGTATATCATTCTATACTTCAGAATTTCCAATATTGCTGCAAGATTGAAATCTCCT